CTCAAGAGACAGTGAAAAGGACTTTAGAGCCCCAGGACCTAAGATGTCCCAATCTGAGCACTATTGTACCCTTACTGTTCATGGCTTCTGATAGGGGTTTCTGAAGTGAGTGCTCTGGGTAACTGAACACTAGCATTTTTCTGTGGGATCTCTTGATTCATTCTTTTTGCAACAATAGGTGACTAGATTCTTGAGGGGCTTCTGTCTTGTTTGCCTGAACTGAAACTAGCTTTTGTGATAGGTTCTCTTCCATACTGGTTGTAGCTTTAAGGCTCAGTTAGGGGGAAGTATGGGGGTAGATTAATTCACTAATTGTAATTTCTCATTGGATTTTTAAAATTATATTTTCATCTGATGGTATTATTTAGAATTTTGCTGTATTAGGTGTGGAAGTTGGGCTGCCTGCCTCTGTTCAAGTAGCCATATTGACCTGAAATATTATCCATTAAATATTAAAAGCTTCTGAGGAAGCCTACAGCATGCTGAATAGATTCTTTATGAAATATTAATGGAAACATATTGACAAGAATATTACATTACGAAAAGCCATGAATGGGTTGCAATCTGCACTGTCAGCCAGTTAATTAACATTTATTAAGCACCTAGTATTTGCCAGGAGCTGTGAGTGGTGGAGATGCAAACAGCAAAGGAATACAGCCTGGTGGAAAAGTTCTCCACTTTATCCTCCATTTGGAGAAGTCTCCAATGCAGAGGGTCCTGATGAAGTGGAAATGGCAAGGCAGATTTGATCTTTTTAAAAAATATTTTTTCCAATTACATGTAAAATAATTTTTAACATTCATTTCTGAAAATTTGAGTTCCAAATTCTCTTCCCCCCTTACTCCCCTCCCCCCTCATTGTGGAGGCATGGAAATTGATATAGGTTTTACATGTGTAGTCATGAAAAAACATATTTCCCTATTAGTCATGTTGGGAAAAGAGCACAGACCAAAAAAAAAAAAGAGTTGATGAAAAATAAATAAAAAATGCTTCAATTTGCATGCAAACTCAAGTTCTTTCTCTGGAGGTAGGTAACATTTTTCATCAAAAGTTCTTTGGAATTGTCTTAGATCACTGTATTGCTGAGAACAGCTGAAACATTCACAGTTGATAATCGTAGAATATTCATGTTACTTTGTACAGCATTCTTCTGGTTATGCTTCCTTCACTTTTTTATTTCATGTAAGTCTTTCTAGGTTTTTCTGAAAGCATCCTTCTTATGATTTCTTATAGCACAATAGTATTTCATCCAGGTATCTAGGTGGTATGTAGAAAACGCTGGACTTGGAATCAGGAAGACTCAACTTCATGAGTTCAAATCCAGCCTTGACATGTACTAGCTATATGACACTGGGCAAGTCACTTAACCCTGTTGTCCTCAGTTCCTCCTCTGCAAAATGAGCTAGAGAAGGAAATGGCAAACCAGTCCAGTATCTGGTCCAGTATCTTTGGCAAGAAAACCTGAAAACGGGTTATGTAGAATCAGGCACAATTGAACAACAACAATTCCATCACAATCATTTACTACAACTTGTTTAGCCATTCCTTAGTTGATGGGCATCCCTTTAATTTAAAATTCTTTGCCACCACAAAAAGAGCAGCTATAAATATTTTTATACATAAAGGTCATTTCCCTTTTTCTTTAATCTCTTTAAAATATAGGCCTAGCAGTGGTATTACTGGGCCAAAAGGAACGCATGATTTTATAGCCATTTGGGCATAGTTCCAGAATACTCTCTAGAATGGTTGGATCTGTTCACAACTCCACCAAACAACACATGCGTGTCCCAATTTCTCTACACCCTGCCAACACTTGTTATTTTCCTTTTTCTGTCATGTTAGCCAATCTGATAGGTATGAACCTCCGAGTTGTTTGAATTTGCATTTCTCTCATTAAAAATGATTTAGAAGGGCTGATTTGATCTTGCAGTATGACAAGGTTCCCATGGGCCTGATGGAAAAGTAAAAAGGAGTAGGAAATGAAGAGAAACTGATGGACAGAGTATCACTTTATGAGAACATAGATACATTGAACTATTAAGGTACATGATCAAGTTTAGCAGAAGTAGGAATGTTGAATTTAACTGTTTAGTAAACTGGAGAGCCAAAGTAAACCTCTGAATGGCCTAGATTCAAATCCTGCCTCTAACACAAACTAGTTAATGGTCATAAACAAGTCTTTAAACCTTCAGTGTACCAAGGCACTCTGCAAACTCTAAATTGTAAGTGATTTGCTGGCCTGCATTATTAGAAGTTTTGATAGTGAGAGGTCCATGTACTAATAAAATAAAAGATGTAAACCTGTAAAAAAAAAGTTATAGATAACCCTACTCAAATTTGTTCCATCAACATGGAGATCATCATGGATTGTAAATGGCTATTTTCAAGCAAAACCCAAGTTCTCACAGGCCCCACATCAAGCTGTAAAAACACTGATTATGTGACACGATAAATTTTCTCCTTGCCATCTCATTTGAAGAAAAGGCTACCCAAATTCAGAAAGGCTCATCATCATAGGACTGGACACCAGAAGATGTATATGTATCTGTATCTGTATCTGTATCTGTATGTGTATGTGTATGTGTATGTGTATGTGTGTGTGTGTGTGTGTATGTGTATGTGTATGTGTATGTGTATGTGTATGTGTATGTGTATGTGTATGTGTATGTGTATGTGTATGTATATGTGTATGTGTATGTGTATGTGTGTGTGTGTATGTGTATGTGTATGTGTATGTGTATGTGTATGTGTATGTGTATGTGTATGTGTATGTGTATGTGTATCTGTATATGTATATGTATACATATACCTATATCTATATACATACATAAATATACATATATACTACATATTTACATATATACATACATATACATATATACACACATACATATATGTATTTTTTTCCAGCCTTAGTACCTAATGAAAACCACAGGATCATAGTAACACTGCAAGGGATTTCAGAGACCACTTAGTTCAATTTTCTCATTTTTGCTAATGAGGTAACTGAGACCCAAGGAGGTTGAGAAACTTGACCAAGGTCACACAGGTAGTCATCATCAAAGGTGGGAACTGAAACCTACTTCTTTGATTCTAAAGCCAGTTCTCTTTCCATCGTTCAAACTGCCTCCCATCTGCAGCATGAATGGAAGAAGCAATCACACTAGGGAAGTAATATATCCTTGAAGTGTTGAAATATTCATAGGTAAGCCACATAACTAAATATAAGAAGTGTGATTATAATATAATAGGATTGATGCCATTTCTTATACTCTCTGGCCATCAGTTTTATCAAAGGGTTAGATTAAAGGATCTTTAAGTCCAGGTTCAAAATTGAATGACTGTAATTTTTGAACATTGAAATTAATAATAATAGTAACAATAATAAGCCAGCATTTATGTAGTACTTTGAGGTTTGTAAAGTGCTTTATAAATAAAATCTCATTTTATCCTCCCAACAACTCTGGGAGGTAAATGCTATTATCCATATTTTACAGATAAGTAAACTGAGGAAGTCAGAGGTTAAATGACTTGCTGAATATCACACAGTTAGTAAATGTCTGAAACCAACTTGAATTCAGATATTCCTGATTTTCAGGTTCCAACACCTTTAGTTGCTTAGAACTGACCTTCTTCCATCTTCCCCTTTAATATTCTTATTCTGATTTTATTTCCGTTGCTCAAAAGCTTTTAGTGGCTCCTCTTTGGGAACTGCCTTTGCAACCTGTGGCAAATATTTATCATGTGGGGATGGAACTGATTTTTAGAAATAGCCAAATTGGTGTGTTTATGTTTTCTTTTTGTGTGTGTGTGTTTATGTTTTCAATTAAAAAGATTAGTGCTACTATAATGTAAAGTAATATCTACTTTGTCATTTGGTCTCATATGCTAGCCCTGAATATAATCATAAAACAGGAGCTTCAGAAATATTTTCAAGGAGGTAACATTGTGGTGGGAAGGATACTTTTTTCTGTATGGATATTTTTTTTTTTACAAAATCAATCTTATTATTTTACAATCCTATCTTTTGAAGAAAAGAAAGGTCATCAACTAAAAAATTCCTGATGAGGTAGGCCAGACCTTGAGTGAAAGACTTGGGCTTGTGCAACAGAGACACCATTTAGTCAGTAACGAACTGTAACGAATCCAATATTTTTCCTGTCACTCACAAAACAATATTTCTCCAATCAAGGATGGAAAGTCATCTCCCCTGAATGTCAGAACGGGCTTGTGGGGCCCAAATGTGTGCCCAAGGGCTTAGTGACCTTTCACAGCCCTCAGCTTCCACTTTAGAGCAACTTTGACATGATATAGGGGATCAATTGCTGGTTCGTAGTCCCTTAGAAGGTAAGTAGTAAGATCAGGAATATATATACCTTGCATTTTCAACACAATGAGAGACCATAACTTCTCTCATCAAAATACAATCACTACATCTTATTTTTACAAATAAAGAAGCACAAGTCAGTGGAATAAGTATTGTTCTAGAAAGTCAAAGGCTTACGATCTAATCCTAGTCTTGCCCTAACTTTATTCCATTAGACAAGTTTTTTTCAGCTCTCTGGATCTCCTTTACATATCTAACATTCTTTGTTCTAAGGGCCCTTCCATCCCTGACATTCCATGTTCTAAAGTTACTTCCATCTCTAATTCTGTTACTCAGTAATATGAACCTTTAGTAAAGCATAAAAGGCAACAGAGAATAAAACTTGTCAGCTAAAATTAATTAACAATAGCTCTATTTAAAAATATGCAATCATATTCATTTCTTCATTCATTCAACTTTTATTATAGTTCCTAAGCTTAAGGAGTTTACATTCCATCAGAAAAGGTGGGGTTGGGGGTGGGAATGGGTGGTGCGGAGAATCTTGTAACAAAAGGAAACTTTGGAATTGATTACTGAAGCTTGAGTTGGTTTTCAAAGGAAGCTGGGGAAAACATCATAGAACAGAAGTAAAAACAATACAGTAATTTTAATATATGCTTTTCCCATTTGGTACCTGTCTTTGATTCTCCGTTTCTAGCCTCAACCTTGCTTCCACACATCTCGAGTTTCCAGGAAAGCTTGACGTTGGGCTCTGTCTGACAGGTAGCTAATGAAGATTCCTGCTGTGTTCATGCACATGAACAAAACCGCCTGAGCCACTATCTGAAATAGAGGAGTAAACATGCCCTTGGTCAGATGTTTTAATTAATATTTACTTGAGAGATTGAGAGAGAGAGAGAGAGAGAGAGAGAGAGAGAGAGAGAGAGAGAGAGAGAGATTGGATTCCTTAAAGAGATTTAATGCAGTGACCCAGTGCTAAGAAACCTTTTAATATAGCTATGAAAATAAAACTGGCCCGCTCTCAGGATGGGAACCTGTGAAGAAATTTAATTTGCTCTCTCTTCATTTGAGACCAATGATTTGTCTCAGGCCAATACTTAGGCTTGGATCAGTGATATTCAGTATTACTACTCTAAAGCTATGAATGGCTCATTTGTATGTAACCTACTTTTTTTTTCAAGACCTATGGTTTCTGTATTTGAATATTATATTGTACAGTACTTCATAGGGCCCAGAGTAGCTATGGACACATTTGGGAAACTACAATTGGAAACACGACCCCAGATTAGGCATGTGCTGGAGTCAACTTTCATTGGCTTGTAAGAGTTCATTGTTAAATTTTCAGTGTGACTATTTACACCTCCAAAATCAGTAAACACCACAAACTAGGTACTAATTTATAATTTTATTGGGTTTCCTAGACTTAAATTGATGAATAAAATGTTAATAATCCAGGTTCAACTTAAAATTCTGTTATGTGTATATGTATGTCTAAGTATATCTACACACATAAATATAATAGTAAATATGCATATGTATGTATACGTTTTTTCCCAGAAATCCAGTTGTTAAACATTTACCAGTACACCTCCATTCCAGAGTCCCATAGTTGTTAGTAAGATTCAAGATGATTGTCTCTTCTTATCTTTCAGAACACATTAACCATAATAACAGTAGCAGCAACAGCAGCAGCAGGTGGTGGTGGTGGTGGTAGGTATAATAATAATAATAAGACACACACTTGGTCCTTTAAATTTTAAAGGATTTTGCATACATTGTTAGATTTGTGAGCCAATAAGCTCATAAGTCAAGTGCTATAGATATTTTTAACTTCATTTTACAAATAAAGAAACAAAAGTTTGGAGAGGTTAGTTAGAGAATTTGCCTATTTACATAGCAAGTAAGTGTCAGAAGCTTATACAGAGCTTCCCTTTTTGCTTTTCATCTCTTCTTCAATCTTTCTTGCTCTATTCCTAGTTTGGATCATTAGATGCAAAAATCAGTCTGATGATGATAATAATAATAATAGTTTGCATTTATATATCACATTCTATGTGTCAGAGTCTATGCCAAGCACTTAACAAATATTATTTGATTTGATCCTCACAACAACCTTGGCAGGTAGGTGCTATTGTTAGCATCCCTATTTTACGGGTGAGGAAACTAAGGCAAAAAGAGGTTAAGTGACTTGCCCAGGGTCACACACCTAGTAATCGTCTGAGGTAGAATTTGAACTTGGGTCTTCCTGACTTCATGCTCATACTCTATCTATGATGCCATTTAGCTGACTCTTTCTGGCTAGTCTGCTTACTCATAGCTTACTGCCTATTCACTCCTGACTAGATTTCCAGACATAATAAAAGCTATCATTTCTATGGTTCTTTAAGTTTCACAAATCACTTTCTTCAGCAATAACCCTCGGAGCTAGGAAGTGAAAGTATTGTTATATCCATTTTATAGAGGAGAAAATGGAGGCTTTCAGAAGTAAAATGACGGGTTCCCAGTCACACAGCAATTTAATGGCAGAACCAAGAATAGAACTCAGTTCCTCAGGCTCCCACAGAAGGGATTTTTGTGCTATGTCATGCTGTCTCCTGAGATGCTAGCCATGGCTTCCTCCTTGGACTCTGCCCCTTTCTTTTTGCCATGGTGCATCCAACCGTTGCCACTTGATTTCTAGTACTTACGTTTCCCCTTTCATTTATCAACCACTTGATCCTGATTCTATTCTTGTGGCATAATAACAGCTCACATGTCTGGCACTTTATTAGAAATGTTACGCTCTCTATTTTACAGATGAGGAAATTGCGATCTAGAGAGATTAAGTAATTTGCCCAAAGTCACACAACTGTTAAGTGTCAAGGGCAGGATTGAAACCTAAGTCTGGGCTTAACCAAGATCAAACATTCTTTCTATTATATTGCACTGCCTCTTTCAAGGTTATTTGTCAGATTCCTCACGGTTTATATTTCCTGACACCAATCTTGGACATGTGATAGGTGTTTAATATATACTGATACACTAACAGTAAATATGAAAGTTCCTTTCAGAGGCAGCTAGGTGGCACAGTGGATAGAGTGCTGGCCCTGAAGTCAGGAGGACCTGAGTTCAAATCTGGCCCCGACCAAGCACTTGACACTTACGAGCTGTGTGACCCTGGGCAGGTCACTTAACCCCAATTGCCTAAAAAAAAAAGTTCCTTTCAGTTTTTCAGATCTTGAACTATAGCAGTTCTACTCTGTGTAGTACAGTATAGGGAAAATTGTAAACACCTTGACTTGGCAGGGAATAATATAGATATAAACTATAAAATTACACCTACTTTGTGCCAGGCACTATGCTAAACACAGTTTACAAAAGAAAGGCAAAAGTTCTAGACAAATAGAAATTCCAAAATCGAAAAATGAAAGAATGTTCCAAAACACTAATAAGAGAAATTAAAATCAAGATGACATGGAGGTTTCATGATAACATCCAGTAAGCTGGCATTAATAACAAAGATCGGAAATAGTCCATGTTGGAGAGGTTGTAGAAAGGCTCATTGATTCACTGTTGCTGGAGGTGGGAATTGGTACAATCACTATGGAAAGCAATTCAGAAATATTAAAATAAAATGACTAAAATGTCCATATAATTTGATCCACAGCTTCCACTGTGTGTTACATATTTGAACAAAGTCACTGACACTATGAAGTCTTCAAATACACTAAGATTCTTTGTTCTGGTAGTACTTTTTATATTAGAAAAGAACTGGAAACAAAGTAGATGTCCATTGATTGGGTAAGAGACAAGCAAATTGCGGTAAATGAATGTAATGGAATATCACTGTGATGTAAGATATAACAAACATGATAAATACAGAGAAGCACTTGTGTGAAATGATACAAGATGAAGTAGGCAGAGTCAGGAAAGCAGTGTGCATAATAACTACAGTAGGGTAAATGGAAAGAACAATCACAAAACAATAAAAATTAAATATTGATTGTAAAATTATAAAGAATAATCTTGGCCCCAAAGAAAAAATAGGAGACCTCTTATTATTTTTGCAAGAGTAGGGGTCCACAGGTTTGAGAAATTGCACATAATGTCAAGTTTTTTTTTTAATGTGTTAATTGGTTTTCCTAATTTTTTTCTCCTTCCTTTTAAAAAAAATCAATTATAAGGAATAACTTTCTGGGAGGGGTAAGAAGAGGACTATAGAGGACATAGAAGTAATGTAAAACATAAATACAAATGAATTTTTTAAAAAAGAAATGTCCAAATTTGGCATATAAGCTTTCTCATTGACAACAGTGACAGAGTAGTTGTGGGAAAAAGTGACATGAGGAAATTAGTATTTGGTTTTTAGAATGGTCAATTTTAGGTGAAATTTGGACAATATAATGAATATACACATAAACATACACACATATGTGTGGATAGGTAAATATAGAAACAGACAGAGAATACATAAGGAATGAAGAAAAAAACTAAGAAAGAAATTTATGAATCAACCACTTGAATGGCTACTGAAACCATTCAAGCTCACTCACGAAACAAATATTGGTAAAATGCATAGCATATGTTAAACACCCTGGGATATAAAAAGGGACATAAGATAGACTCTCTAACTAAACTCAAGGAGGATTTAGGGAGTAGATTTAGGGTGAAAAGAATAGGAAATTGTAGACTGAGTCCAAGGAACTTAAGGAAGGCAAGGAAAAGAAATAAGAGAAGAACCAGAGGAGAGATCTGCTCTTAGAAAGCAAAGACTTGAAAGTATCTCATGAAGTGGAAGAAAAAAAAAGAGTCAGGGGGCAGCTAGGTGGCACAGTGGATAGAGAACTGGCCCTGAAGTCAGGAGGACCTGAGTTCAAATCCTGCCTCAGACCAAATACTTGACACTTACTAGCTGTGTGACCCTGGGCAAGTCACTTAACCCCAATTGTCTAAAAAAAAAAGTCAGTACTTCAGAAGATCTTGGTGATTTCATTGATGTAAGTACTCACTCCAATGAGGCCAAACTCAGCTCCTCCACACATTAGTAAATGGTTTCACGACTTATTGAGGTCCAAAATGTTATCACCTTCAGAAGACCCTCCTTCTGATAAGAGCCTTCTCCAAATACAGCTACACTGTTCCTTAGATGGCACACATTCCAATATTAAAGCCCACATTCAAAGCTTTTCCTGCTAGTTATGGCCTATATTAGTTAACAACTAACATTTACCCAATGTCTGAAGATTCACAAATCACTTTGCATTTATTATTTCACTTGGGACTCACAACAACCTTTTGAGGTAAGTGCTATTATTACCCACATTTTACAGAAGAGGAAACTGAGTCTGAGAAAGTTTTAGTGACTTGCTTGGGGTCACATAGCTAATAAGTATGTGACATAGGATTTGAACTCAGGTCTCTCCATCATGACATCTATCAGAGTTTAAGCAGTGCTTTTGAGAAGCTAGGGTTATCCAGATGAAACATCAGATGAGAGGCAGTGCGGTATCATGGAAGTTATTTTGGACTTAAATCTGGGAAAACTAGGTTCAGATCCTAGCTCTATGTAACCAAGAGTGAATTATTTCAGTTCTCTAAGTTTTAGTTCCTCATTTATAAAAATATGAGCAATGATATGTATGCTACCCACTTCCTACCTATGCTACCTACCTCCTAGGATTATCTTGATGAAATGACTTTGCTAATCTTAAAATGCCATGGAAGTTGTTGTTGCCAAGACATACTTATTGGTTAATTAGAAAGAGAAACTACTCCAAATCTGCCCTAGTCCACTTGGCCTCATAAGACAATAGTCCTTGTTTAGTGGGTTCCTGGTTCTCTTC